CCCCAGCCAGCATGCTGGCTGGGGAATTTTGGGAGTTGGACTTCACACATCTTAAAGTTGCCAAGTTTGAAAAATACTGGCCTGATTTAACATACCTTAATGCTCCTCTTGGACAATGTTGGAATAAGTGAGGAAACATTTTTGCACCAGATCAACTAAGATATCTTAAGTCTGAGCTGGAGATGAGATGAAGGCAGCATCATGGAGACAGGGCAGAAAAAAGTTATTGGCAAGGCATGCTTGCGCCACGGTTAGATGCACGTGGGGGGAAAGGTCCTTTAACATGTAACTGTCATCCTTACTGTTAGGGTGGTTCAACATAGGGAAAGGTCCAGCTGCAGTTCTAATTCTGCATCTGGCAGGGAAGTGGGGAACACAGAAAACAAGGCTAATAATGAAAAAAAGCTACTGTATTTCCATGGGAATGGGGAGTGTCATCTCTCAATGGGATTGATTTGAGAATATAAGCATTTTCCTTGCAAGCTAACAGTGGTGGTGTGAAGTGCCTCCCACTTTCCCAAGCAGTGAGAAGTTCCAAGAGCAGTGCTACCTGGCTTTTATCCCCACTGGATGAGATAGCACTGAAGCATTATTCACGTACTTGGAAATATACACCCACTCCCCATGGAGCACATACATAGGTTTGCTTTATAAATATAGCATTATTGCTATTTATAATATGGCCAATAACCAACATTACTTCATAGTTGCTTAATTTACAAATATAATAGGGACAAACAGAGGAACCCTGACTAAGTAGCAGATTTGAGAAGAGGTCCCTCCACCATTCTTGTATCTTCTCCATTATCCCTCTACCTTCTCAGCTAACTCTGCCTCTGTTTCCTTCTCTTCCGTACACCAAAAGTTATCTCTCTATCGCAAACTCTCTATCCAGGGCTAAATTCAGCTTTGAAGGGCCCTAAGTAAAATGGAGATTATGGTTAGAGTTACTATCTAATTTCAGAGGCAGTGACCCAAGAATGTGGGACCACTCTTTCAATTTCCCACATGCCCAGGGCCATTTATGTCATGGGTATTGTGATAAGTTGTAAGAGTGAGTAGATGCATATGCCTGAGGATTATTTCAGTCATATAAATCAATCCAATGTATACTAGCTTGACAGAGGGAAAAATGGAAGAGGACAGATTGGTAGTTCTAGTTCATCTACAGCCTTCTTCTGCTCTGTCCTTTCTCTGCCAATGCATCTTTCATCTGCATGCAGTTCCTCATCTCTGAAGCTTACCAGGCATGTACTAGTAAACAGGCACATTTGAAGGAAGTGCTATTACAGAGGACAGAATTAATTGATTTCACAAAGCTTTGGTACGTTGCCTTATGGTAGATCTCTAGTGCCTTTCTTGTTTCCGTAGGTCTGGTGAAGCTGGGTGTACACTGCATCACAGGGCAGAAAGTTGCAATTAAGATTGTGAACCGGGAAAAGCTTTCTGAGTCTGTACTGATGAAGGTGAGCAAATCATGTTTCTTGGGGTTGGCAGGGGGAGTGGGGGTTGAGGGTGGATGAGGGAGATTGGAGAAGATGGAGACCAAAAGGGTGTGGGACTGAATCCACAGTCCAGAGAGAAATAAATTGCATGCTATGCTTTCTACGCATCCCATCTCTGGCTTTCACCTTCTCCCCAGGGGAAGGTCGAAGTGGGTAGTCTGATCAAAGCAAAACCCTCAGCAGAGATATCAAATTCATTCGTAGTCTGTATTGGCGCCCTGAAGGAATTTGCCAGTCACTTTCTAGCCACTGGGAAATGTGCAAAAGTACTGCAAGGCAGTCTCTCACCAAGCTGTCAAGTTTGAAGAAAGAAGCACAAAGTGATGTTACTAAGGTGGCTTCCCCACTAGTTACTTAGAGCAACTTCACAGCAAACCCCTAGCTGTTGTTGAAGTGATATAAATCCTGTCCTCAGTACTGTAACTTTGGCATAGCAGCGGTTGGATAACTACAGAAAATGTTCTCAGTACCAGCATTAGCAGTGTTGGGGTAAGGGATGGGAGTGGGGGGCCAATGATGATATGAGGTCATGCAGATGACATGACTTTTAGGTACTTGCATCCAATGTCATGACTCAAGTACACAGTTGTGTCATCTGTGCAATAATCTATGATACACATGTCATTTTGGCATCATCATGGCTTGCTATGGATGTTTGTGGCTACACGTTGTTCATGGAAAAAGAGCAGTAAGATTTTGCTGCCTAACAAAGAATGCACAAAATGTAGATGGATGCTCTAAATCAGTGTTTCTCAGCCTCAGCAACTTTAAGATGGGTAGACTTCAACTCCCAGAATTCCCAACCAGCATGCTGAAGTTGAAGTCCACACATCTTAAGGTTGCCAAGGTTGAGAAACGCTGCTGTGAATGTTTATGGTCCCTAAGTGAGAAGTGAGGATGGCACAACCCAGAACAGGATTAGGGTTAATTAAGACTTCCACAACTCTGATATTCTGACCCTGACCTGTTTGGCCAGATGGTCATTAGTCTTCACCACCAGAGCAAGTCTCTGTCCAGGTCTTTGATTTGTCCTGCAAAGTTGAGTAATCTCACATGAGCTGGAGTGGTTCAGCGGAAGCCTTTTTATGTACACCAGTACAGTTTTCCCCCTTTCTGAAGTCTGTGCTGATGTGGAGAAAACCCCCACTGAAAAGACCCTCCAAATACCAGATACCTTTAGCCATAACATAAAGCAGATTGGGTTTTTTTTTTTAATTGGGCAACTACATCCCTTTTCAAGGCTTTTGGGAAAATGCACAGTAAAGACGAGGCTTACTAAATGTTTGCATGCTCTCAATTGACATTTGGTAAGACCAGATCCAATGGTCAGTAGCAGGAAAGCAAAATGAACCACAAGAAGATATATATGAGGGCTTATATCAGATTGAGAGCCCTGCATTTGCCAGTTAATGTCCTGGCAGGTGCTTTGCGGACAAGCTGACAAGCTGATAAAAGACAAGTGGGTGACGGGCAAAGGTCTTGCCTGGAGGCCCTGAGCAAAGACTAGATGCCCTCTTTCAGCAGCATAATGATAGACTCAAAGGAATGAATCTTTATTTCCATCTGTAGTGCATCTGGTTGCCCCTCCAGCTTCACCTTAGGAAGGAGACTCCTGGGCCGCATGCCAAACCCTGACTGGAAGGAAGTTCCTTCCTATAACAAGCCTTCTTCAATGGCCATGGAATCATCCAAAGTAATTCCAGATGACCTTCGTGACTCCTTAATATATCTGATTGTTCCTTAAATATGTATTACCTCTTGTGCAAGTGTAGGTAGATAACCCAGCTTCTCCCCCCACCTTCCTTTCCTTTTTTTCTTTTTTCTCTTCTTTTTTCTCTTCTTTTTTCTCTTCTTTTTTCTCTTTTTTCTCTTTTTTCTCTTTTTTCTCTTTTTTCTTTTCTTTTCTTTTTTCCTTTCCTTTCCTTTCCTTTGCTTTGCTTTGCTTTGCTTTGCTTTGCTTAATTTACAAATATAATAGGGACAAACAGAGGAAGGAAAGGAAAGGAAAGGAAAGGAAAGGAAAGGAAAGGAAAGGAAAGGAAAGGAA